TGTTCACCTTTTAGATGGATGTTTACAGTAAAAAAACACACAGACACAGACACACACATTCATTTTCTAGCCTTTGCCAAAATAGCAAAGGTACAGTCAATACTTGATACTGCACCACAATTACATCAGACTTGAGAATGTAGACCTTCTATAACAAAGCACTATATGTTTCAGTAAGATTCATGTGGATTTGGCTATAAAAGTCATGAAAAAAAACCTCCATCACATAGCCATAAATTAAATAATGGCCCCTGCACATAAGCCAATTTTCATCAAACAGTGGGTGCCACAAAAGAAAGGAGTTGGATTTCATGCATGCAAACACACTTCCAATTTATGGAGGGTCCCTAGCTCCCACATAGACAAATTAAATTATATCAATTTTGTATATAATATACCAATGAGCAACAACGTAATATTTCTCTAAGGTATGTTTGGTCTTTTCCACAGAATTTTTCAATTATGTACATAGCAAGTTTAGCAGCAGTAGCAATAGTAAGAAGAGGAGGAGGAGGAGGAGGAAGAGGAGGGAAAAGAGAAAGAGGAGGAAGGAAGAGGAAGTGGAAGAAGAGGAAGAGGAGGAGGAGAAGATGGATATGGAGTGGGAGAAGGAGTAAGGGTGCATTTACACCAAATGCGTCATGGTGAGGCGAATCAAAGGAATTCATCATGAGTCATGATTCGCCACCCCAAATTAGCATGAGCCCCATGCAAGTGGAGTTCCTGATAAAATTAGTGAAGAGTACCTTGCAATATATAATCCCCGTGACCGCAGCCATAGAGACTGTGATGCCATAGCTTCTCTATAGAAAGAGGTTGCTGCTAAAATGAATAAAAAAACAACACACAAGTAAAAAAAGGATTTTATTCAATGCAATTTGTACAGTAGGCCTATAACAATCAAAATACATTCCTAGATCATTCCATCTTCCCATTCGTGAGCTCCACCTGGAGAAATTATTCCTTCAATACATCACAAACATCCACAGATTCTGCTGGAGGCCTCATGTTTCTTGTTGCTGTCAGGCCTGAATTTGAATGATGTGACTGCATTGGATCTTGGGCATCATCACTTACATTGAAACTGTTTAAATGTTGAATAAAATGATGAAGTACAGAAATGCTTTCTTAAAATTTTCATCTCAAAGAAGAAGAAGAGGAAGAAGAAAAAATCTGAGTGGTTTAGCAGCTTAGGAAATAAATGAATGAGCTTCCAAAATCTGGGACCTTCATGTTTAGTTCAAGAATCCATATTCATGTTCGCTTATTATATATAAGACGAATAAACGACAATGTAAGTGCTTCATCGAGAGAAAATTAATCCTTTCTTGATGAAATCAGTGGGGTCACTGACTGCCTTGTCTTTCCACACGCAGTGTAAATGGAAACAATTGCTCCTCCCCTTGCTTGGAGCAAACACAGCCTAAGAGGAAGTCCTGTATATGGGCTCCAATTTGAATTTGTGGTTTCATCACAAGCCTAATCATCAGATATGAATCGTGATGACAAGGCACCAAAAATAGACCAATGAAAATTTTTTTGTTTGCCACTTTTAAGTGGTTCATCATGTGAAGGTTTCCATAGAATTGAGTGTTGTGTCTCTTATCAAAAAGAAAGTGGCAGCCAATGACTGTTGAAAAATGACTTGCGGACGGGGGCCTTAAGATGAAATTAGGGCTGGTTCCTTTTCTCAAAGCAAATCAAGGGCGGTCTGCTATATATATATCTTACCAGAAAGTATAGCCTATAGGTTTTCTATCAATTTGGTGTCATGGTACAGTTACAGTTTCACAGACATGATGCAAGGTAAATTATATGATCATGACAAATGAAGACACTTTTCATCTATGGTATTTCTTTCACAAGTTGATATAAATAGAACTGAGCAACATGTTATACTTTGACATACATTCACAAGAAAATCTAATGACGTTATCTTAATGAAAATGAAAAAATCATATATGAAATAATCAATGCAGGGTAAGAGTAACATAAAAAAATGAAGAAAATAGGTCGTCAAAAATACTGTGCAGAGAGTAAGTCCATGGTGTTCAGTTACAGGGACAGAAGCTACGATAAGGAAATATTGCGATCAAGTGGGGGGCCTGGGTTAGGAAGGTTATTACTTCATATTAATATTTGGACTCCCAGGAATGGCTGGATTGACAGGGGTGCAGTCACCATACCAGACTATAGATTATTTTTCTTACATGGAGAATATTACATTTTTCATGCGCGGAAAACATCATTTTGTCCACATCTGCACAGACGGATCTGCGGGCAGATGAAGAAACAAGTGCGCGGAAAGGTCAAAGGAATTTTATGAGCAGATGTTTTAAAAAAGAACTAAGCATGCACAGAAAGTTACCTAAAAACTACATTTCCACGGTCAGAATTTGACCAAATAGTTCCCTATGCAGACCAAACTCTACAGTCTGGACTTCATGAACAATTACCATGGCTTTAACTTTGGTAATTGTTACTCAGTGCGCTACACCCACCTGAGACAAAGCCCTAAAAAACGCAAGCTAACGTTTCCTAACATTTATTCATTTCCTAGATAGGGTGGCAATCCCCCTGTACGCCTCTCCTATATTAGCACTTCATTCTAATTTATAGAAAAAATGGAGATTAAGAACTATGGCTGTGTGAGGGTGTTGTGGATTTAGTCTCTGAGTAGTGATATGCAACGAATACTTTCATCATTTCGCAGTAAATATGAAGTAACTGCAGCTGTACCTATGCTGTTATTTACTATACATCTTGTGCTCTATAAGATGGCAGTTTCCATTTCCCCCCTATGTCTGTGCATCACTCTGGGTAATTTATACCTTAACTATAATCCTTCATAATGGAAAACAACAAGAGATTCATATATTACACCACGATTAATTGAAACAACTAATAATAATACCAAGGTTGGACGTCTGCAAATCTAAAAAATCACTTGTATTTCGCTGGAAAATCACAGGAGCTGAGGCCAAGGTTATTGCTTAGTTCCTGCACAGGATATCTCTGACAAAAAAAAAATACAGTTATTCCTCCTTTTCAAAACTGGGTGCTCTAGCTGTTGATAATACATGTTTAAGCTGTCAGTGCACTGGTATATTCAAGCACTCAAGGTTAATCTTGAAATGAAAATTTTGTTTTGAATAATGTCATATACGCACAGCTTAATAAAAACACTACTACTACTACTAATAATAATAAAAAAAATATCACAAGGCCACATAACAGATCCCCCTGCTTTCACTTTTTTTCAGAATTTCGTCACTGCCACTGAATGAATATGAATCGTCTTGTCTTTATCCTAATCAACTTACACTCAAAAATGATGAGCAATCGAGAAATTCAATGCCAGTTCACCAGACAACGATCCATTGTTTACAAGATTTCTTCAAAGTTCCAAACAGTCAGAGAGAACGAGCCATCGAGGCTAAGTGAGGGGATACTTTACTATTTGTGTTTTGTTGAAAATGTTTGTCCTATATAGCTTATGGTGTCCTTATATCGTAGCTTTAGCTGTATCATAAATAGGAATGTGGTTTTAACTAAAAAAAAAAGAACATTCGATCTCTCATATGGATGGTGTTGGATTACGGTAGGTTTAGTGTAAGGCGGGGTAAGGTAAAAAAAAAAAATAATAATAATAATAAGGTAAGGTGGGATGGATGGGTAGGTTACGGTATGGAAGGTTGATAACCACAAGAACTTTGGGCGAATCTTAATTCAATTCAGATTACATCCTTGAGGTTATAAGTATATACGTATAATTTTCCAACGATTCGACCAATCACTGTAGAACTTCAAACTTTTTTTTCACAACCCAGTTTAATTTTGTACACTATCTTTATGACTCAGAATGTCCTCTCTATCATACCTTTCTTTCAACCCAATATCAGTTTATATATGTATATATTCTTAAGCCCAAGCGACCACAGGATGACATTTTAACCTGAACAGCCGCTATGGGTCCGAGTGAACACGTGGAGATGGGTACGCCCAGTTCATTTTCAATTTAATATTAAACTAATATAAAACTGTTACGTTCACCAAGAGGTTTATTAATGTACTAGAAATAAATGCGCATCGGTGGAACACGGGACAAAATCAGTCAGTCACTCTGCAGGCGGGAAAATGGGAGGGGTCGCGTCGCGGGCGTGTCTTCCTAAGGCAAAAATCCCGGGAGATCTAGACTAAACTCTGCGTGTGACGAAACACCCTTCTACATCAAAACTCACGCGAATTAGACATAAATACATGATCACGTAACACTATGTATGAATGTGTGTAAATACACATACATACATATATATAATGTATATGTATATATATATGTATATATAATTATACGAATATATATATATATATATATATATATATATATATATATATATAATATATATATATATATATATATATATATATATATATGTGTGTGTGTGTGTGTGTGTGTGTGTGTGTGTGTGTGTGTGTGTGTGTGTGTGTGTGTGTGTGTGTGTGTGTGTGTGTGTGTGTGTGTGCTGTGTGTGTGTGTGTGTGTGTGTGTACAGCTATTATATATATATATATATATATATATATATATATATATATATATATATATATATATGTGTGTGTGTGTGTTGTGTGTGTGTGTGTGTGTGTGTGTGTGTGTGTGTGTTTGTATGTGTGTGCGTGTGTGTGTAATATTTATGTATTATTAAAATGAAACCTAACAGCGATTAAAGAATCTGATCTTACCAACTAGCAGAACAAATCAGTATATGGAAGCTTTCTTCTATACTATTTTCATCGCAAATTGGTAATTATGGTGTTAAAGAGGGTTTAAAATCTTTGGGAGCCGCAGCAACGTTATAAAATGCCGTGACAAAATGACACAAAAGTCGTTAATTGAAATCGAACGGATTTGTAGCGGATGACGTATGGGAGGTAATTCAAATAAGCCAATTAGATTCGTGCGTGAACATCACGTGACCATAAGCTCTGACGTCCATCTCAATAGAACCAATCAGATTTGAAGTAGATCACGTGACGACAGAAGCTAGGCCTTAGAAGGCAGTTGTAATTCAATCAGTTTCACCATAGCCAATTTCTGCGCAAATTGATAACAACGGTGTTATAGAGGGTATAAATTCCACGACAAAATGACAATAGTCGTTAAGAACGACTGGAAATCGGACGCATTTGTAGCGGATAACGTATGCGAGGGAAATCAAATGAGCCAATTAGATTCGTGCGTGAACGTGACGTGAACATGACACTCAATAGAACCAATCAGATATGGAATAGATCATCACGTGACAATAGAAGCTGGGCCTAGGAGAAGCCCTTTGAAGTTCAAATCAGTTTCAACATGGCTAGACAGTGTGCAGGTTGTGAGAAGAATTATTTCGATTTCACCGCGAAATATCGAAAAAATAACGAAACAAGCTTACTAAATCCATGTTATCACGGTGTACTACCAGTGGAAGTATAATGCCCACACTGGAAGACATCGTGTCATTACAGAAATGACAGACACTAGTGGGTTTGTGGTGCAATGAAAAGAATTAACAACAACAAAATGAAGAAAGCAGTGTAACTTTACAGTAAACGATCGTAATTCTCGCCAAGCTGGAATACCCCAACGATCCAAGTGACCCGCAGACTGGCCCAGCTGAAGTTGATACTTCAGGTAAGAGGTTAAAACTGTCCCTGGGTCGGGGCTCTCTCCTGCCGGAACATACGAGGTGAAGATTTTACAGACCAGGCAGGGGTAGGGTGTGGCAGCTCCCCATGAAAGGGGGTTTAAGGGGGCAGAGCCCCATATACAATCCGGAAATGTGTAAATATACTATGGTAGTATTCTACTGATATTTCTCGAAATTCCCTAATGTGTAGGCCTATCATACCCTCCCCAGCTATTGGTACCGATATCGTAGTTATGCTTCGTTTGAGATGGAAAAGAGTGCTAGATTTGTTCGAAACACGACGAAAGCTATTGGAAAATTATTCTTATTCTATTCATCCGCAAAATGGTGTGGCTTTGCATTTCCAAATTAACCGTCACGTAAACAAAAAGAAGAAACTGTGGCTTCCCTGTAAGTGCTGAACCACTCTGCTGTCCGGTAAGGAACGGCAGATAGCGATCGCAGTTCCTGCTAACAACGACCTGGAAGACCCCGACGATCCCAGTGACCCACAGTCTGGCCCATCCGGAGTAAATGCTTAAGGTAAGATGTGGTTAGAATTGTTACTGGGTCTGGGTTCTTTCCATCCGGAACATGAGGTGAAGATTTTGTAGAAAGTTGTTATCTACTAGAAGCTGTGACACTATAGGTAAGAGAATATTTAATGTATTAGTTGATAAAACCCGTAATTACTTATGGCGGTAGAAAATCTTTTAGAATAAAAACACAAAATAGTTTGGTGGTAGTGAGACTGTGGTTGTAGTTGTGTCTGTACTATCTTGGGGGTTACTTTAACTCGAGATAAGGAACCAAAATATCAAGTTGTCTTCTGAAACTGTACAAGAGTACAATCAGCCCTCTCTCTAGGTGACCTGGTATCTCCAGGTTTGCCGTCCTTGGAGTTAGATCATCATGGCTCATTGTATGAAGGTGAGTCAGTGTTGCTTCTAAGGACATATTAGAAGAAAATGTCGTAATAAGCGGTAAGAACTATAAAATAAAATTAAAAATTATCTCCAGTATCTGTGTGAAGTTAGCTGTAGATTCCATTTCGTCTTCCTACCGAAATTAGTGGATGGCAGGCTAGGGAGATGTAGTCCATTTGTAAGTATTTTTTACTTAGACTTTTCCATCATCAATATTCTAAATCAACACACAACTGAACTTGTACAAGATCAAAATAAGGATGTAATTCTCCGTCATAATCTTGTAGACATGGTCATGGATTTGCTCCATGGGTCTTTCTCAGTGGGAAGGACCCTTCTTCACGGCCTTGATGAAAAACCCTTGTCCCAGGCATTCCACCTCCTTGGACCATTGAGTTTGTGCTGTTATCAAATATTCACTCGGTTAACTTTGTCCAACGAAAGTCTGCAGTATTTAGGACCCGGTTGTACATAGCACTGTATGATGTGTCGCCAATAGTTTTGTGGTAGGCAGAGTCCACAGCCATTTGGGTGTCCTTTAGATAAAGATCCCAGTTCTGTATCTTTACCGAACACCATCCTACGTAGAATATTGGGATTGGTCCATTCACATAATCCCTTGCACACAGGGTAGTATGAAGTAATCTCAAGATGGTGAAACTGCAAATGTTTTGCTATATCTTTCAGGATCTCGTTCCTAAATTTGCGTCCCTGGTCTGTCAATGCCATCTCCGGGGAATACCGAGGTTTGCAAATATCTCGCAGCTTCAGCTATGGTCTTAACATTGTTGGCTATTGCTCTGACGATGGCAAATCGTGTCAAGTCCACTGTCACCAAGATATACTGGTTTCTTCTCTCGGTCTGAAAGAGATGCCCCATAACATCCATCGAAACCAAAGGAATAGGATATCTTTAGGGTGTCAGGGTCAGTGCCCTTTAAAATTCGCACAAGTACTGCAATTCCTACAATACTCAGCTATATACCTATCCATTCCGTGCCAGGTAGATTTTTGTCTTACCTTAAATTGGATCCGTTTTTCAGCAGTAATGATGCTAAGTGCATGTGTTAAAGTGTTTGGAACTAGCATTCTAGGCACACAGCATTACTTTCACATCTCGCACCGGATTAGGTGTCCTGACCCGTAGAGGAGCCCTTAATCAAGGAAATAGTGCTCTTTAGTGACGGGGTTCTTCGTCTGGAGGTACTTACAGGTGATTAGAAATAATCTTGGTTTTGCTACCAGATGATTACTGGCTACTACGGCCTTTAATATGTGGTAGTTTCGAGCCTCACCGATGATCATTGTTGTTGCTTTTTCAATTTCTGCATGATCCACTCCATCTGGTGTTTCAAAGTTAACTATTGCAGTTGCAGCATTCAACTTTCCTTGATGGTATAGAATTTTAGTGCCAAAGGAATGGGCCACCTGGTGATGCGTGTATTGCCATCTTTAGCTTTATGGAAGAGCCACTTCTTATCCCCAAAATGGAAGCTTTAAACTTCTTCAAAGCCTCAATTACAGCGAGCGCTTCTTTTTCCATATCATAGAAAAGCTCAGCTCCTTAGAAGCTGACAACTGAAATACAACATCTGTGCTAAAATGGCACCAACAGCTCCCTTACTGGTATCAGTAGACATCCGGTGAGAAGTCAGGAGGCCTCAACACTGGTTCCTTTAGCTGGCTTGCCTTCAGCTCTTCAAATATATCCTATTGTTCATTTCACTAAATGAAAAGTTTCTCTGATATCTATTTCATCAGTGACTGGGCCTTCTGCGCTTGTTTTTCTGCGAA